AAAATGGGAAAAGAAAAGGACTCTTGCATCACTCAAATCAAAGCCCTCAGACACGATAAAGCAGCTGGCAGCTTCCGCTACAGCTTAGAGCCCTATATTGGACGAGTGCTTAATTAAGTTGCAGCTTCTTAGATCTTCACTGAGTGCTAACATTTCTTCTGGTTCTTACTTATTCAGTCTAAATTTAGTAAGATATGCATTTAGTAACACTCTAATTACAGTTATTATATTATATATGTTTTGATGTCCACAGGGACACTAAAGTGCACACACACACACACACATACACACACACACACACACACACACACACACACACACACACACACACACGCACACAAACACACACACACACACACACACACAAACACACACACACACACACACACACAGTGTTACAGAGGGATGAATAGAGGGAGAGTGTTTTTTTCTGTGGGCAATTGAGAGCAATAAGAGAGCTATAAAAGTGTTTAAAAGCATTTTACCGATCACTGGGGGATGTTGAGGTCAAGTCCTGATTAATTTGAGCACAACCAAGGATTTTTTCCTAGTGTAAGAAGGGTGTGTGTGTTGTGTTTCAAAGTTTGACTGACACATTATCAGAGTGTTTAAATTATGAGATGCAGGTTTAAGAATGTGTGAAATTATACTCATGCAGGTGCAATGTGATGCATTTTGTGAACTGTATGATGGAACTACTGTGATAAACTGTGAAAAAGTGAAAATGTTAGAAGCTGACCATGTTTAATTTAATTTAATTTATAATTCAAGTTCTCCACCTGCATTGGACAGGCAACACAGATGACATTCACAGTATTTACAGACAGTGTCTAAGTGAATCTATTCATCTTAACACAATGTGTATGTCTGTGTGTGTGTGTGTGTGTGTGTGTGTGTGTAGGTGTGTGTGAGTGAAAGAGAGAGGGAGAGATGATTACAGAGGCATTGTGAGTAGATTTAACAAGTAAATTGAACACAGAGGTGGGTCTCCTCTCTGCGTGTTCTCTTGTCCTCTAATTTAATTTTTTCACTCGGTTCTCCAGTGGAGGCCTTGCATTACAATGAGTCTCCATCCGGCTGGGAAGTGGTCTCACTACTAATAAAGAACAATTCTCTCACGCTATTAGGGAACTGGCGGGAGATGAGAGGGGCAGCAGTAGCAAACGTTATCGGGGGAATGTGTGTGTGGTGGTGTTCTTTAAAAGGAGGATGACCCCAGTAGCTCCCCTGGTAGAGCTGGCGCACCACGAACAAAGGTTTACCACTGTGGCCCGAGTTCAATTGCAACCTGTGGCAAATCGAGGGTCACATGACAGATGAAGGCTACTTTTTGGGAGCTTTGCTAATATTATTTATGTTGTAAGAAGGTGAAGGTGATCAGTGCTACCTCACAGTGACTAATCTGAAACAATCAGAAAGGTGGCATTTGAGGGCATTGGGATGAAATATGCATATTATTGTATTTGTAAAATACACAGAGGTCAGCAGCTATGAGGTGCAATAGGGTAGTCACCCCATGTCACCTGAACACTTTCTTGCAGTATGAGTAACATTAGCATAGTTAGCAAGGCTACGGGAAATGTAGCCTACAGCTGCTTCTGGCTGCCTCCATCTGTTATGCCTTGCACATTGTAGCAGCCCCCCCGAAAGACCCCTGTCTTGACCGTCAGGCGCACTAAGTTCCTAAGGGGGATTTCCTAGCAAACAGTGCACAATGCCACTGTGTCTGGTCAAGAAATAGTACAGCATACAATCCCTGGTAAAACCACAACTTGATGTACAGTTTTTATACTTTGGCTTTTGTAAAAAAAAATAAAACAGGTGTGACGTGATAATTAGCAAGCAGGTAGACAGGCTAGATGTTTCCTTCTGTTTCCAGTCTTAAAGCTAAGCTAACTGGCTATAGCTTCAGCTCGTAGCAAGACAGCAAAAAAGCATATTTTAATATTATAAGTTAATGTATTTGTATAAAAGCAATTGTTTTGTATTCCAGGAATTAATGTTTTGTATTCTGATGGAATTGTTCATATTATGTTTGAGGTAATAATTTACCTCAATATAACAAGAACATATAACCCACATTCTCATGCAGCTGCAGGTACAGTATATCTACATGCATTAGGTTGTTTTCCACATTAAGACAGCAACTAATTGCCTTTTTTTGTTAGAGGAGCAGAAGTGCACAAACAAATACACACATACAGAGCTTCTCTTATTGTTAATATAGTGACAGCTGAGGGACACATACCTACATGAACACACACCTTGCACATTTGGTACAGACTCGATATGCAGTCAGCCAAAGCACCTAATCACGTAACTTTGCAAATGTGTATCATAACCTGAGCTACTCAGTGTAAACCTAAAACAGAGGATTGTATCTAATGTCCACATTCTCTGCTGTTGGCCTGACAGGGCTCCCAGGTCTATGCTCACACCATTATGATTGACCAGCTGACAACTTGACCTCTCCTCACCGAGACAGATCTTTTGACTGCGGCCATTTTCTCACCATTATGTTTAGCAATGGGCCTGTGCCTGCCAGAGACAGGGGGCTTGTTGCTGAGGCTATCATTCATAGCAGAGAGGAGGAAAGGATTAAGGCCACTGAGAAAGAGCAGGGGAGAGAGGGGTTTGCATCTTAATGCAGGCCTGAGTGTGGAACAGCCTTGTTATGAGGTGGCTCAGTGGAAAAGGAGGAAGATGCAGCGGCTCGGTGGTTTGGTAGGTGGCTGCTGGTGGGAGGTGGGGGGCAGGATTAGGGGGAGGAAAAAAAGGCAGATGCAGAAAGAATCTGAGGAAAAAACGAGGGTAAGAAGGGTAGAAGAAAAACATTTTTTTGGATGCGCAGTATAAAAAAAGAACATCGTGTAAGGTACAAAAGACAACCAGCTCTTTTTAATACTGCCAGTAGAACTGTAAATATTACATTGTTACTGTACATCTTATTTTAATTCAACCATTGCCACTGCTTTGGTGCAACGGAATAAGTATTTTGTTCCAGTACAACTCATTTGATTTTGACTACTTTTACTGTAAAATAACTGGGAGTGTGAGTTTCTTGGGGGGGAATTTTCACCAATGGGACAGCTCCTGATGTAGAGGCAGACCAAATGAGGGGAGAGAAACACGGATATGACATGCAACAAAAGTCCCCAGCCAGATTCAAAGCAAGGGTGTTTCAGTATTGTGCTTTATGTCGAGGGAATCACTTTTAATATATAATGTAATATTATTCTAATATCAAATTATGCTCAATTGCTGAAACAACATACAAAGTACCAGAGTTTCTGCAATCTTTCAGCCAATAAATGCTGAGACAGTAGAACTAAAAAATGAGAGCAATATGCCAGAATAGATGAGTTTGGTTTAAGGAAGTCTCTTCAACATTTGGCTGATGGGACTGGGAAATAATTTTACTCAGAGAAAAATAAATCACACTTCAAAGGGCTTCTGCATTACAATCAGACACAATCCATAGCTCATACAGACAGACACACACACACACACACACACACACACACACACACACACACACACACACACACACACACACACACACACACACACACACACACACACACACACACATAAACCTAAGGTGGATCCATCAGAACAGCATTACACACTCCATTGGTCTCCTTAAGTCAAGGCTGTTTGCTCTCACACTATGTTAGGTTACAGTCAGTTAATCTCCTCAAGGAAAGCAGATCTTCTCAAGTCAAAGCAGGTAAAAAAGAAAAGGCCTCCTGATGATCACTATACTGAAAAATAATTGCTGCTGCACACACAAATTCAATCCAGATGCCTAAGACTTGTTACATTGCTCTGGGTATGTGTTCTGTTGATCGCTTTAAGCTATCAAATGGATGGCCCTTGTCTACACAAAGAGTGTAACCACCTGACACACACATCTTAATATGTTTCTATTTGCTGAGTCTGGAAGGATCAACAACACACACACACACACACACACACACACACACACACACACACACACACACACACTTCTCTAGCTGACACTGAAATGAGAACCTGAGAATCGTTTTAATTTCTACCAGGAATACCATTGTTGACCTTAGGTGGGTGTTTTGCATAACTTTATATGGCCATTAGCAGATCTTTGTAAAAGTGCATAATTATCCTTCATGTTCCACAAACTTTAAGCTTTGCAGAATAGAAAATGTGGAGAGCCACAGTGTGAAGAATCTCCTTAGTGGATGCTTTTTTTAATGCATGACATGCATTTCAAACAGGCACCAGATAAACATTTGACAAATCAGTATGCCAACTTTGTACACGGTGAATCTTTTTCCATGTCTGACCAGGATCCTCATGTGGTATTGCATCAACTGACATTTCAATGTACTGATTAGCATTACTGCACTGTGCCTTCCAAACTAAAGATTGCCATGTCTGGAATTCAAAATAACAATGCAGGACGTGGTATCACATTATGATGTGCAGCATGAAGTTAGTGGTGGTCAGGGTTGACACTGTGTACAATGTGCTTAGCTTTGAAACCGGAGGAGCAAGTTCGCATGCTGTAACCATCTTTCTAGGCTTAACCATATTTGCTCTGCACAAACACCATAAGAGTAATCAAAGGAAATAACACTGCTAGTAAATAAAATGTAACCTTGCAGAATGGAAGAAGTGGATTGTAATTCCTCCTCAAATCCTTGACATGTAGGTGTATGAAAGAGATTCTTTTTGCAGTGTTAATGGGTATTTCATAGCGTCACACCAACCGTAGCAGCACGTCTTGTTGTGTGCAGAATGACAACAGCCTCAGTGGTAAAGCTCCCCCTTGCCAGCCTGAACCTGTGCCAACCCTAGTATCCCAGCACAGCACAGCTAGCATGACTATTAGCTGCAGGGCAGGTGAAAAAAGGGTTTGGCACCCATTCCTAAGCGTGCGGCCTTCAGGGAAGTGAGACTAATTAGAGCGGATAGTCTTGGGTTTAAGGAAGCTTTAATTGATGTCAAAAGTGTCTTACCTCATGTCAGCTACATCTCCACTACACTGCTTTGATTTCAGGGGAGGGGGAGCACAACCTCTTTCCAAATCCTTGGTTTTAAATAAAGATAGGATCAGCGAATCTGTGCCTGCGGGAGCTGAAATGAGAACGTCTGACAGGTAAGAGCGAGTGAGAAAAAAGTAAGCAAAACTGCAGAAGTGACACTCACTTGATCATTTACTAAAATTACACACAGTTTCATGACTGTTACACTCAGTAATCAGCAGATGGGTGTGAATTGTGCCACAACTTAATTTGAATGAAAACATCGCTTTCATTCAGTTTCATTATCCTTTATGGCAATCCTAGCAAATTCCTAAACAAATGACTGATACAGACTTTGAGCTTTTGCTTAGCATAATCCAGTTTACTGAAAATGCCCTTGTTGATTTTCTTTCATCTCAACTAGCTTTTAAAAGGGAAAGTTTGCTTTTCTTCCAGTGTGCAACGGGACTGCAAAGAACTCCTTGGCAAACAAAGAGCAAAAGAGGGGGCTTGTCTTACATTTTCAGTGTAAATTACTCAGTCTTCTTGACATTTCTGGCTATACACGTCAACTGCTCTGGAAGGTAAATAAACAAATGTGATGTATTTTTGGCTCTCATATGCAAACAGGCACGCACTCTTGTCTTCCTCCAAAACAACCTGTAACAATGTTGTAAATAGGCACGAAGCTGTGATCTATTTCTAAAAAGCTTTACTGAGAACAAGTCAGAAAAGGACACAGAGATATGAAAGGTTTGGTTTCTTGTGCAGACACAGTTTCCAACTGGGGGGAATGACGACATCTTATCTCTCTAGTGAGGCTGTTTAAATATAGACTTCTGCTACTTTATCTGTTTTTGCAGCTTCAGAGTTGCTGATAGATGATCAGGCCTTCCTTTTATGTTTTCATCCTTGAACTTCAGCACCCGTAACTTTTTGTCTTTAACATTTTCTATAAGACGTCTACAGAATAACTCATATTTACTGCAGCAACATTAAAGCAGCCTCTTAAATATTAATTATGCCTGAGCCCACACACTCCAAAAAGTCCTACTGTAGCACCCTGGTGAACTCTCTACAGAAACACAAGAAGATTTTTTTCCCATTTCCCCATATTGCCCTCATCCCTTCATTGATGCAATATGGTGTAATCTAGCCCCCCTGACTGAGCAGTGGAATACACACCTCCAACACTGCAGATATTTAATACAGGACTGCTCTATACATTATAAATGGCCCTCTGCAATATACCATCCCTCTAAAACGAAGCCACTGCGCAAATAGAGAAAATAGAAATGACCTGCCCTTGGAATACCGCTGGGGTTTGGAAGCTTTATTCTGGTCCTTTTTTTTTGTCCATACGATATGTCAAGAGAAATGCAGGCATTTGTAATAGACTTAAACAAATGGATAACCTTGTTCTAAGGTCAAAGAGGACTTCATCTACTGTTGTCAAACAACAGCTCAAAAAGAAGAGCAGGAATGTCACATGAACCAAGAAAGTGGACCCAAACTGTGACGCAAAATGATGCATATGAGACGTAAGTGCAAAGATCACAGATTTTATCAAATAATATCCAACATGGCTGTGGGCTGGTATGCTTTTGTGTGTGTGTGTGTGTGTGTGTGTGTGTGTGTGTGTGTGTGTGTGTGTGCATGTGTGACGGAGACAAGCAGAGAGGGCAGAGTGCTGCTGAGAGTGATGAGATGCGATGAGACACAGTTTGAGTGAGTGCATACTAGCAGGAGGGAGAGAGAGGTAAAGTGTGTGAAAGTGGACAAGAGAGCGAGAGAACAAGAGAGGGAAGATGGACATAAATGGCTGTGAGTTAGCATATCCTACTACTTTTTTTTTGTCTTTTTGTTTTTGCAGTTGAAGCAAATTGAGGCCACTAACGCAGCAGTTAGGCGGCTTTTTAGGTCACTCAAAAAGCTGTGCTAAAAGGGTAGCTAGACCTAAATCCATTGTTAATTTGATGGAATGAAAGACACTGCAACCTACTAAAGGATCCAAGCAGATTGTAGTACATCGAGCGATTACAACTTGTCTCATGTCATCTATGTACTGGAGTTAATTTGATTAAACTGTTGGGAAAAATACTATTGATTTATCTTGATTAGTATCCATGGCCGAGCACAGCTGGATCTGCTTCCTTTAAAGCACCAAGCAGAGACAGCCATATTCTTATTATTATTCAGACTACTGAGTTTATGTTTATCAGTTTTTTTTTGTCAATATTTCACGTCCTTTTTCAGATAATATCTTCTCTATCCTCAATGTTGCAAGCTAGCCTTGCGCAGCCATGCTGTGGGAAAGTGACTGCTGAGTGGACAGAGCTGCATGGGTGATTCATTTGAGTTTGTGGAGTAACTGACCTTGTAAATATGGGACTAGAAATCTGAGCTAAATCATCATCTCTGGAAGTGCTCTAAATGTTAGGATGCTCCAGTGGCTGCACCAGCAATTTCTCTTCTTTTATCACTTGAAAGACTCTCAGATTTATCATTATTTGCAGAAAAACTAATCTTCCATTAAATATATATTGTTTGTCACCCTTCATAAAACACACAACAGCTCTTGTTGTCACAGTTCTCAGCGCGACAATTCAGACAAACCTGCTTGATTCGTTACCCTTACGAGTGTCCACGCTGGAGTGGTTTAAACTAATAAAATTATGTCTCTTGATGTTGAAGAAAGAGAGACATAACAAGTCTCTCCAGTTTTCTCAGGGCCACTTGACACTGAGATGGACAGCAAGGTCCTATTCCTCTGATCTTTCAGATGTTATTTTTGCAAGACAATGACTGAAATATAGCTTTCTCTGAGGAGGTCTCTTATTATATTGAGAAACATTACTTATTAGAAATACGCGGAAAAGTCATAAATATACTGCGTCTAGTGAGACCATATGAGCAAAAATGAACTACATTTTGGAAGACACCATATCACCTCTGTAAGTGCCACCCTCTCTCTCTCTCTCTCTCTCTCCTAAATGCCCTGTCCTTCATTTGCACACACAGGCAGAGAACTAATCCTGTAGTCTGTGATTAACATTAAATCAACTGACAAGTCACAATGTCAACTGGCCCAACACTAGCCAGGACTCCAAAAAGCTCCATTACGCATTTCTTTATCTGTCAAACATAATATTGCTGAGAAAAGCGTGGTTGAGGAGCCGCATCATTTCAGACACGCATCACAACATCACACGGACTGCTCGCCCACTGTTGTTGTGTTTAACCACACAGACACCTGCACTGTGAGACTGCACCGTGACAATCTTTCAAGAAATAGCCTGTTTCAAACCCCCGCAAAGGCGCAGCGTAAATACTGACTCCAAAGCAGCGTTTGAATCAGCATGAGTCACCTTCCCACCCACTTTGGGCGAAAAATGTTCACTCATGTCTAACACAATTGACTTCATATGTAAAAACACACATGCATTCATTCAGTGGGCGATGTGTAGACACAAGCATCGAGCAGCGATTCAACAGTTTTGGTTGGTGCGGAGCCGTTTTACCTTCCGGTGAGAGCGCCTCTTGGAAATTGGAGAAGACGACTTGGAGGATTTATCCGTGTTTTGTCCGTAACTTCCCGAGCAGGGCATCTGTTCTTTTTTTTTTTTTTTAAAGATGTGTTGATAGAAAAGAAGAAGAAAACACAGGCTAGCGTCGCTGTGATAAACGGCGGTATCTGTCGCCTTATACGTCCGGTGAGTTTGTGTGTCTCCGGCGGGGAGAAAAGCAAGAGCCCCGGTCCACAGCGGTCTCCATTACCGAGCTTTATATTCACCTTAACGTTTGGAGGCGACAGACAGACAGACAGACAGATCGACGGCGAGGCAGACAGATAGCTAGGCAGGTAGGTAGAAAGGAGGACTGCCTCTGTCTGTCAGCGGAGCCGGTTACTGAGATACTGCTGCAACCAACAAACTCCAGAGAGAGGGTGGGGGGGGGCGGAAGAGAGATACAGAAAGAGAGAGAGAGAGAGAGAGAGAGAGAGAGAGAGAGAGAGAGCGAAAATCACAAGTGCAAGGGCTCAGTGTGTGTCATTCATTTGTAGTCATCTGTATCCACTCATGTTAAAAATATAATTTAAAGTGAGTGAGAGTGTTTTTTTGTTAAATTTTTGTTCTGCTTTACAGCTAACCATTTTACAAACTGTGTTCTTGTTTTAGATATTTGGTTGTCAACTGTTTGAGGCAGCCATTGGCTCCCATTCATTTCCATGTGATTGGAAATCCATTGGCAAAACTTGCTTGAGTCCTGTAATCCGTGACAGAAAACATCAAGTCCGCATTAAAGGTTAACTCCACTGATTTAGCACTGCGCTTCCAGAGAACTGTGGGACTCACAAGAAACAGAAACAGAAAGAGAATCATCTAGTATCTGTCAAGCTCCATAAACACTAGATTCTGCTTTTCCCATATTGCAGTTCAATAGCATTTTTTTTGTTTGGGTAAATGACCGTATCTTTCAAACTCCATAACCAAGCTCCACTGTTTGTAACACAGACTCTCTGTTATGATTTTTTTTTTGTCTCCAAGCTCAAGCTGTGATAACCCTGATGACATTCACAAGATTATTTTCTCAGGCTTGTTAGCGCTCCTCCTGAGCCACAGAAGTTTTTTATAGATTTCTTTCACAAGCGGAGTAGTACTCCTCATGACAAATAAACTGCCCTGTATGTCTAAAACCAATGGTGTGCCCCTTTAATATTGGTGAGGGTCATTATCATTATGTATCTGCACGTTAAAATGCATTACCACACACAGTAATGATAATGTAACTGATCCTCACTGCAATGGATCACTCAACATAAACTAGTTTTAAGAGAGTATTAATAGATTACTGATTTACTGAAGAAATTAATGGAAAACAATGGCTGCCTTTTACTGTAGGAAACAATACATGAAAATATATAGCATTTAAAAATATTCAGCAAAAATACAGCATGATTTATAGTTGAGGAGGCAAACAGCCTGAAAGAGAGGAGAGTATCTCTAAATATTTTGTCTTATATTTTAGCTCACTGTCAACATTATGGGTTGCTTGGCCAACCTTAAGCTTATTTCCTGTAAAGCCAAATATGTGGAGTGAAGTGAATAGAGAGAGAGAGAGAGAGAGAGAGAGAGAGAGAGAGAGAGAGAGAAATATTTATTCAGTCCAGTTTTTTTCTGCAAGATGTGTTGATTGTTGTCTCACATTAAGGGAAACAAGCAAGCGTACTGAATACAAAACAACTCTGTAGATCTTCCCATCTGTTCTTATCAGACTGCTTTTTCTGTGCAGGGAATGTAATTCATTTTGTCACCCTCTGCTTCAGCACTGTATAGAGTCTGTATGTCGTGCCAATAAAGCACAGACTGACATGAACTGAAAGAGAGTAAAAGATGGAGAGATATGAAATGGATTCAGCACCATGGACAGCTCTTTGTGTATCCTAACTAGGCCAAACACTTTGCTCTTGTTCTTGCTGCCACCTCTTTTATCATGTCAGTCAATCTAAATTCAGCTTAGAAAAGACTATAGATATGCTGAGATTAGTCTTGTTGTAATGTAACAACATTATTACATCCACAAACTACTAAGACAGAACACACAGACAATATACACCGCTGTCTTTAGATTGAAAATCACAGGAAGGCATATGAAGTGTACTGAGACATCAAACAAGATTTAGTCAAGCTAATGCAGCGGGAGGACCACAGGGTTATTGCTTTATTATAGGCCTGTTTCCACCTTCCACATTTGATCGCTCTCGTCCCTGGGAGGTGAAGGCCAGGGAGAAAATACTAGTATTTCTTAAAAGGTTGACATTTACCTTCATGCAGTTTAAAGACACTGGGTGTGAGAGTAAACTGATTTGAAGTTGGAGTATAAAAATTAGTGCTTTATATTTTAATTTGTTGGCAACAGTTTTAATTGATCTCAGATTTAATAACCCTAACTTAGCTCTGCAGTAAAATAATCATTAGTGGGTTAGAAGGCTGCTAGTGCAGAAGCACAATGTGGATCTATTCCAAAGCATTTCTCTCTCTCTCTCTCTCTCTCTTTCTCAATCAATACATTTCTGCAGACTACAGTAACCACTTTTCTCCAAAGCAGGGCGAGTTCTTGCTCATTGATCACTCTTCCATTAGACCTCTCTTTGAGCACTTTGAGGCAAACATTTCAAACTGAACTGGTAATGAAGTGAGTCCTGTTCACTTGACACTTTTCCAGCAGAGAGACAAGGATCTATGCACTTAGAGTAAGGTGCAAGGAATGACCAGCTTTGTAACTTCTGGCATCTCTGCTGTTTTATACAATACTGAGGAGCAGCTGAAAGGCACCAAACGAGACAGTCTGATTGTAAAAGCCCTCAAGATCCAGGCTTGAACCCACAATGCGTGGCAGGCACCTCGGCATGTATTCTGATCATGTCTGCTGGAACATGAACCATGCAGATAAGCTCAACTCATGTGCGTTAGAATCAAAGCGGCTTCCTACTGCTCTCTCCCTCTCTGAGCATGTTTTTCAGCAGCATCTGTGCTGTGTGAGAAAGGAATATGAGGGAGGATTACCTGCTTAATTAGAAGGGGAGGTGAGCTTTGTTGTGTGTGTGTGTGTGTGTGTGTGTGTGTGTGTGTGTGTGTGTGTGTGTGTGTGTGTGTGTGTGAGGGCGATATGTGCACCGCACATCAGAGAGAGTGTTTAATCACAAGTAATCAAACACCTTAATAGACATCTATTTGAGCTTTCCCACAGCATTTGCTTTACAATGTGGTGAGTAATTGTGTCGTCCATTACATGATATAAACACATATATTAAAAAATGTTGAGCTCATTTAGCTTAATTGCCACAGCAGCCCAGAATGCATTTATATTCCGCATCGGTGCTAGAGGTAAGTATGCATTTGTTTGCAATTCATTAATGGATTGAAATGAAGGGCAAAGAATGACTGTAGCAGAGCAGTAAGACATGTGATGGTCCAGCTGATAAACAGATGGTCTCTCTCTCTCTCACTCACTCACTCACTCACACACACACACACACACACACACACACACACACACACACACACTCAAAGCCGTTTAATGCCCTCACTTCCTCTTAGGAGAAGAAGATAAAGTTTCACACAATTAGGGAAACAAAACAGGAGATTACGGCATGTCAGAATTAGTAGCAGCATTTCACAGAAAGGAAGGGACCTTTCACTCTGTTCCATGAACACTGGTGTGACTGTGGCCTGGACTAATTAAGGAAATAGTTCTGTTTATGCGTAATGTCTGCACCTGCTCATCAACGTCCCTGACAACATTGATTAACTGCATGCTGTGTAAGAGTAAGCTTGGCAGCTCATTAACCATAGAAACAAAAGTTGAAGGGCATGTTGTTAGAGCTACGCTACAGATCAGAGCCTTGTGTCAACATATGCTGGGCTCTAACTCCTGAAGAAAAGGACTCCATAATTTACACCACACCTTTTTTACAACAGGTTCGGCAAAGACGAAGACGGGGAAGAAAGTTTGCCAAAATGTATCCTCAGAACGGTGGTTTATATGACTAGATGTCTTAACCACTCAACTATACTATCTGACAACTACACAAAAACCCTTTTAAGGCTTTTAACTTACTTGGTATGTCTGAAGTAGTATTGCTAATTTTCTTGATTAACTGATTAATTGCTTAGTCTATTAAATGCCAGCAAATAGAGATAAAATGTGTCCATCCCACTTTCACAGAGCCATTTTTTTTTATTTGTACAAAAACAGTACAGAAGATATTCAGTTCACTGTCACAGAAGACTAAGGAAGCAAAGGAACAATTTTTAATCAATTATCAAAATAGTCACAGATTAATCTCCTGTTGATTGACTAACTCATATTCAATCATACAATTTCTCTATTCTTCATATAAACAGACCAAATCCCAAGTATTATTATACGCTATTGGAAAGAGCTCTAAAAAATAATGAACTAATGAACTAGATATAAATAAATAAAATAATATAATACATTTCATATTCTTCAGATTTGTCAATTTTTCTTTCTGTTGGCTTTAGACAAACATGACAAATTGCACAGCCCTTTAGACCTTGAGCAGCACCTAATATGAATTCAGTAGGGCAGCAATTTAATAATACATTATTTCCTCTGGATACAATCACTTTAATTAAACAAAAGCTTGGATATGGAGTAGCTCTCATTGGGAATGCTGAGAGCATAAACAATAGCACATGCCTCTATTTTTATATTTACCCTACCAGCCTGCACTCTGGTAATGTTATGACCAACCACTTTCGAGCATCTATCCCTGCCAAACACCTGTCCTCCTGTCAGATCACTCATTTTAATGCAGAGACTGCTTTATAAAAGTCAACAGAAAGCGAGCGCTGCCAATTTACAAGTCAAACACACACGTGTGCACACAAACAAATACACATACACACACACTGATGCACCTGTCCGCCTCTGCTAAATGTTACCATCTGAATAGGCTGTCAGCTGGTGTCAGTTGCAAGGCTTTTTTGCTTGGTGGGTAATTGGATTTCAAATTTAAAGCTTCCTGCACCGTGGACAGGACATGGTCAAGTAATCAACACACTCAGGCCAACTTAGCTCGAGGGATGGAAATCATCTTTGATTTGTTTTTGTTATGGGGCGTCAGTGGTAATTCTATAAAAGTAATAGAATGCAACACTATTTATTATAAGTGCAAGTTCAACATACACATCATCTCCATTCATTACAGGTTGTATGTCTTGCACTGTTGCTGTCTGCACTTAGTTGATCTACTGTAAAACAACTAGGTCAATTGCACTGTTCAAATCTTTATTCGGCAATGACTCTACGTGGGATCCAGCCCACAATGCAAAGCACACAACAGATCCCCAAACCCACTCTGACAAAATAGTCTTTAGGAAAAATTATCATGTTAGTACA